GCAACAACGTATGTCAAAGGTTTGTCTTGTCTTTCCTACCCACTCAGGCTGAAAACTCTAGGGATGTACAGCGGACGTTATCGAAGTCTACGGAGCTATCTCATAATGGCGTATCAGATTCTAGGAAGCACCAACCACACTCCACTATCTTTTGAAACTCGGCCAAAACACATCTCTGAGGGGTCACCAGTTTAAGTTGGTCAAGCCGTACAGCCGACTGGAATGTCGACGTAACGTCTTCTTCCTTCGACTATCACTGCTCTGCAACTCCTAGCGTATTTAGTTAATGCCTCCGCCTCTCTATTCAAAAAGCGTCTTCTCGATGCCATGACTCATTTACGCTACGTGATGACGATCAGATGGTAGTATTATTGCAGAACAAATAGTAACCATGTCATAATCCTCCTGAACTCCAGGCAGGAGAACTTCCATATGTGCACGCACGTTGATACCCTGGGTATTGAGGTTCGTCGTGTGTCCGAAACTAGGGTCAATGTTCCTCACTGAGTTGTTGGATTACCTGCGCCCAGCTTGTCCTCCCGCTATTGGTCGCACGCATTCGGAGACGCTAGTGCTACAATCGCTGATCAAGGTTGGGTGGGCATCGTTCTCAGCTCCAAGCCTAAGTCATTGTTGGTTCATTGGATTCCCATGAGCACCCGTTTGTGCGTTGCCCATTTGACGATATCAACTAAAATTGATACACGAAGTAGCACTAGAAGCTGCTTGTTTGTAGTTTCTGCTTTTACTCCCAATGACTGCAGTTCTGGTGCTGTTAACGACATCTACGATGAACCGAACACGCTGCTTTGCAATGTTACCAGTTCGAAAATCGTTGTTGTTGTTGTTGTTGTTGTTGTTGTTGTTGTTGTTGTTGTTGTTGTTGTTGTTGTTGTTGGGGATATGAATGTGCAAGTTTGGGATCTTCAGAAGCCCAACTAGATGATAAGTATGCACATAACTCCGACGGGACGGACAACGGCGAGTGTCTGTTGCGGTTGTTGGCCAAGCACCGACTGTTTCCTAGTAGCACCGCTTTTAGACATTGGGCGCCGAACTGCCACTTAGCGTCCTCCTATATAGGGCCAGCGATGTACCCACATTACCGTAAGCTACCGGTGGCGTGGCCCTAACCTTTTTTGTCGGTCATTCTGGTCTACCTGTGTTGACTCTGACCATGTCCTGGTACACTGTCTCTTTTCCATGAACTTTACCAGGAGAGTTAGCAACTGAAAAGTTATGTCAGCCCTTGCTTAGGCAAGCCTAACAGAGTGCCCTACGTACCGCACTTCGTTCTCTTGTCCCAATGACACTGAACATCAGTAGAATAGGATCTCGGCCGCCATACACGATGCGAGAGCCTCTGCTCGTGGTACTATCAGTCGTCGCCGCACCAGTCACTATATATCAGAGTGCTGTGAACCTGTTGGAATCCAAAAGAAAACTCCCGGATGGCTCAACACAATCTAACGAGATGGACTACAGTAAAGGTCGCTATAGCAACCGCCGGTACAACGAAACATTCGGAATTACGAAATTATTTTTATGCCCCTTCTATTTCCCTTACTATGTGTTATTTCAGTTTAAAGAACGTCGAATTTCAGTATGACGATTGAAAATTACGTCTCGTTGCCTATATTTAACTTTATTTTTTCAAAATACGCTTGAAATTCATCCTGTTTTATAATATATTTTTCTTATTACATTATCATTCAGATGATATAATAGCCATTTTTCCTACATGTACGCGATCAGTTAAATGGAACAGCGATTTTTAAATGACCAATGCTTATTCCATTGAAAAAGCTTTACGCATCTTCCAATGCAATAGTTAACCCTATTGGCTAAGTAGGAGCGAAGATTTTACAATCAACCACTGAATGGTATGATTTCACATCTCTGCCTTACCATTTCGTTTATTCACGTCGCATTTTCGCATCACGTGCTCATTCTTTGCCTTTATTGTTCGTTCTGCAGCGTGTAAACCTGTGTTCCTGTTAGCTGTATAACGACAATATGCGTTTAAAGAAGCGACAAGTGTTTTTTTTTGAAGAAAACGCGAAGTACTTCTGAAAGTGGAGAAGGGAGGGAAAATGGGGATAGCGAAGAAGTATAACATTAGCCCTCCAACACTATCAACTTTTCTAAAACAGAAAAGTAACATAGAGCAGAATATTGTTGCCGATACCTTGGCCCACAGCGAAATGTGGTGAGGACAGCAGACTACGTGAAGGTAGACAAAGCAGTTCCTACGTTTTTTGTAGGAATTCGAGCCATAAACATCCCTATAAATGGCGCACTGTTATGTGAGCATGTGCGATCCTTCGCACGTTCGCTTGGTTTTGCAGGAATCATGGAGCGTATTGGTTGGCTTCATAAGTTTCAGGAAAGATATGGCATTTCCCACAAGACAATAAATGGTGAAGCTAACGATGCCCCGAAGGAAGTTGCATCTTCTTGGCGGCTAGAGACCCTGACAGCTGCATTGAAAGAATATTCGCCGACGGACATCTATAATGCAGCTGAGGCGGCATTATTTTATAGCTTAATGCCGAACAAAACCCTTAACTTCAAAGGAAATAAGTGTTTTTGAAGCAACAGTTCCAAAGAACGGATAACTGTTTTTTTGTGCACGAACCCCACTGTGACGGACAAACAACATCGACGTTGCGAACGTCCACCGAAACGCACCAGGAAGTCGGCGCAAACCAGTGCATGATCGGAGTCCACGCTCTTGCTCCAAATCGAGCGACAGTTTAGGACACAGCCTCTCAAGCGGTAACTGATCGCGATATGATCGATTTGCGTTCATAGCTGATGCGAGACTGGTGGGCGCCAAGTCACGCTTCTGCGAGTGCTTTGTCGGAACTTTGTGCTCGCGCGAAAGTGACGAACATCTTCGCACAGCTGTAGCAGTCGCTCACAATTATCATTCCGGGAACCTACAGCATGTTGGCCGCCCAGATGAGGCTCATCAGAGGACAATTTTCCTACTTAGGCGTTTAGATCAGCAGCAAACACCACAGTGTCCGTGCTTCTACTGTAACAAAGAAGCTCGTTAAGTTGCTGCTAGAAATCATCCTTCACAGAATCAGTGCCACAGTTTATGGGGTCCTAGGCCGCAGTGACAAACAAGCACCGTTTGTTCCTGCGCGACTTCGTAGCATGGAACGAACCAGCTAACCTAACGGCGCACATCCGACCGTTGACTGGGATCCAATCCATCAGGGCAGCTTCAGCCAGAGGATTCAAAGCAGTGCCAACGCCAGTGTTATAACGCTGTACCCGCAGTCAACCGATTGGTTCACGCCTTCTGGTTATTCTGCGCCCTTACGCCTACTCTGCTTGACGTCTTGGCCAACCCGACAGAAAGGAAAACGGGAGAAAACACAACTGACCAGAGTTGTATCAGAACCGAGAACGCTCGTGTTTATAAGTCGGTCTCACCAATCCTCTAAACACCGCCTGGTGGATTTGGTTACCTGTCATCCTCGCACATCCACGCTCCACACTTGACTGTTCATTACGTCGGGCCAGTTCATCATTTTGACGGGTACGCTAGTCTCCATCCGCCTACCCGAGGCATTGAAACATACATGGTGTCCGACGCGCGATTTCCTCAGCTTCCGTTCAGACCTTAGCAACACGCATGTTGTCTGAGGCGCGATTGCATCAGCTTTCGGCTGGGCCTTGGCAACACGCTCACGGGGTCTGTCCCAAACACGCTTTG